TTTTAAGTATAGTGAATGGTAAATATAACAAATACCAAGTACATTGCGACAATTTTAGAGCACATCCCTTCCCTTTGTTATCACCACAGAACACACCACATGATTTTCACTATAGCCAAAGTTCAGATTAGATTGTTACCCCAGTTAGGTAAAGGTAACTAAGTACATTACCATAAAACCCTCCTCCTCACAGGCCCTATCCAATAAGCAGGAGACGAGGGCGTGGAGAAGTAATGTTTACGTCTCGCTCTGAGAAGTGGGACAGTGTGCAAACTGCACCTGTCACACAGTCAGTTATAGTTATAGTGGCACACTGACTTTCAAATGAGCCACTGCAGGACAGTGTACAGGAAGACTGCTGTAAGGTAAGAGCATACTGAAAAAGAAAAATCCCTGCTGCACTGTAGATGAATGAATTTTAGATTAGAGAAACTGCATATTAAGTTCTTTGGCTGAGATAATTGAGAAATACTATGTACGTATGATACTGTAGAGCGACTTTCAGTGAGAATTATTTTGTGAAGTGAATAGAATATGAGATTATACTGAATGTGAATGGAAACTTTGCCGGACACAGCCAATGATCTTAAACAGAACCCATTCAGATCACTGTCACATTCACACACTGGCTGATAGAGGTACTGTAATTTGACCTGACCGGTTTGTCGAGATGATGCATTTACAGTATGTAGGGTAAAGACCAATCAAAGTGAGACTAGCTCCAGACGAACTAATCTAAATTATTGGCATTTATCTCCTGCACCTGCTTGAAAAGCAGTCACCAGCTGCTGCGCTCGGCACTGACATTAACTGCTACATATTAGGACAAGAGGCATTGGGAAAACAAAAACTCTATATAGAGTTTTAGAGTATAACACAAAAAAAAAATATAATATTCTATGTTTTCCCATAGAATACATTTTTTTTTGCTACATGTGGATTTAAAAAAATATTTTCTTACTTTTCAGAATATCAAAACCCATCCAAGATTGTAATGATAACTGACTGGTGGGAAAGAGTTCAACACATACATGTGTTTTCAAAAGCAAACATATTGGTCTGTTTTTGTCTCGCTTTCGGGCAATCCGGCCAAGAGGAATGTGAAAACTGTCAATTAAGAATCATGCTTGTGTTTACTTCACCTGACAAATCGTCTTCTTTTCAGTCGAATGCATACGCCTCACTGATCGCCCAGTGTTTATTCAAGTAGTCTTCATAAAGGACATGCAGCATGTCCGTTTTTATTGTTGTTTGTCCTGATGGAACCGACTTAACAAGACTTAAACTTCTCTAAAATATTTGAATTGCTGTCACATGATTTTTGATCCACTTACACTAGTACCAAACCTGAACATAATAGGTAAGAAAACTGCCATATAATTCTATAGTCCAGTGTCACAGTCAATATAAGGACAGGTGTATATTAAAATCTATTACTTATGCTCAATATACCTTATCTGTGTCTTGTCTGTTAATGAAGCAAGTGAGCATACTGCCACTGTGGCAGAGCAGAGTGTTGGGTTTAAAGGTTAAACAAGTACGTGGAAACACTTCCTGTGGCCAACTGTGACATATGGGACTGATGGAAATAGGCGAGCTGCCACACAAAGATCAGCGTGAAGGAGACCAGAAACATTTCCCTCTAAATGATATTCTGCAGGTTCCTATTGACTGGAAGGGCTGATAACAAAACTAAACACACTGAGTGTCTATTTACAACTCTTATTTTAGTTGGCCAACAAGTTTTTAATTCACTTGCGAAACAGTGAGATCGTAAAGTAAGTAAGAAAAACAAGGAATGTTATCTATCGGGGGGAAAACACACTGCACCCAAACTTTCATCAGTCAAGCCTAATCTTTGAAAATGAAATCATGAAAAAGGATTTTATACTCACTGGTTTCAGATGTTTTTATTTTGTGAGTGAGGTTCAACTCATATTGAGAATTCCCAGAATTCTTCCTCAGAATGGAACAGAAAGTTATTTGTGTCTCTGTTCCTTGAATACAGGCTGCTAGTTTTGAAAAAAAATATCTGATTGAGTATCTGTCACAAAGGAATCTGACCTAAATACAAAGCACATGGGCTGTTGTACCAATGCCTACCAGCTGGTCACAGGGTTTGTGGGTCTCCCGTCCACAGAGCTGCCATGCTGAGAAGAGGCAGAAGCGTCCGGGCTCAGCCTTGGGCCTGTAGCGATATACGGCAAGAGACAGCTGCAATGGCAGAGATCCAGACGATGGACAGAGAGGAGTGGGAAGACCAGATCACGATGGAGGTGAGGCAGTGATGGTGTAGGGTAGAATTCAAGATGAAAGCATGAATAGAGAAGTGGACATTTAAAAGGAGATGGTGTGAAATGTGGGAAATTTGGATAGAAATGAACATAACTGGAGACTGATTTTTTTATTTGCAGAAAATCAAGAGATGTATTAAAAGATGCTATTTCTACCTGAGTACCAGTAGTTTTCCACTGGGACTGTGGCCTGTCTGAAATGGTCATGTGTTAGACATGGTCACGTCTCATAGGAAGGACGATATTTTTGGAAAGAGTCTAATTTTACTTACTGGCTCACATGACTTCTCTCACCAATAGGAAGCACGGACAGGTTTTAGTAGAAAGGGTTTGAAACATGGCATATGGGTGCTGGCTCTCATTTGGCTCTTGGGATTAGTGTGCAATACAGCAAGATTATAATTTCCCTGTCCTGGTTTAGCAACCTGTCTTTTGAGACAAGATTTTTGTTTTACAAAATTGCACCTGCCAGTGAAATTTTAACAGTAAATATAATCCATAAGTTTTTAATTTCCTTCCAATGAGCCATTTCTGGACCATGACCACGTCCATGGATTTACGTGATGCTGTAGGTACTGTTTGTGTCCACCAGATCAGCGACATGGAGGCTAAAGTGGATTACGTTGCTGTGAGTTCCCAGACTGTCTCTGAGGTGGAGGCCTTGCCCAGCACAGCGACGTCGATAGGGGAGTCTTTCTGCCAGTGTCAGCCACAGGAAGTGCTCAGCTCAGGATTCGCTGCCATCAGTGACTGCCTCTGTGGGGAGGAGGATCAGAGTGAGCAAAATCTGAGAAATACTGTAATACACCACATAAACCAACAGGGCACAAGTGCAGCCTGGTACTGAGGCTGCACAGACTAGTATACTAATATGGCCTTGGCATTAATATAAAAGTTTATTATATATATATTATATTTGGCTTATGAAAACAATATCACATACAATTTCCGTAAATCAGATTTGAACAGTTGGTAAAAAAGACACCGACAGTAAAAACATTTTGTTGCTTCAAAGATAAATTTAGCTGATTTCATTACCTTGTAAAAATCAGTGCACTAGATGTAAAAATATTTAACAAAATAAGTGAACACCCTTTGACCTGTTGTTGACAGTTCAGGATATACCACAAGGGGGGACCACCAGAGTCAGTAGGGTACATCCTCTGGGGACCAGTTGTCTTGAGAAAAAAATAAAGTTGTCCATTTAGAAGTTTTGGACTGACAGTTGGTCAGACTGACAAAGCATGAATGTAATTACGTATTCAACATAGGAAATCATAGCAAGTCATAGCTTGCATGTCTGGTGTGCTTTCAGGTTTTGACTGGGTATGGGACGAGCACTTCAAGTCCTCCGGAGCCCTCCTCAGCGGTGACAACAGGAAAGTGAGTTTTCACTCCGACTACAGCTGTGGCACCGCTGCCATCCGCGGCACCAAGGAGCTAGCAGACGGCCAACACTTCTGGGAAGTCAAGATGACCTCTCCAGTTTATGGAACCGATATGGTGAGATGCACTCCTTTCAGTTATACTGATGGCAAATTAGCAGTGTTTGAAAAGATGAATGCTGAACAACATTACAATCATAGAACCTACTGGTGACCTAGAACTCCTGTTGTTCTCCTTTGAAGTTTTGCTTTCTGTGGTTTGATTGGTGTAGATGGTGGGAATTGGAACAAAAGCGGTAAACCTGGAGAAGTTCAAATACAACTTTGGCAGCCTACTGGGCCATGATGAAGACAGTTGGGGGCTCTCCTACACAGGTTAGAGAGTCAGTTATAGACCTTGAGTTATCAGAGAAGTCTGTGGAGGTGGATGACCTTAATAATTAGAAATGAAAGTCAATTTTCGATTTATATATGTTCCCAGGTCTCCTCCAGCACAAAGGGGACAAAGTGAACTTCTCCTCTCAATTCGGACAAGGCTCCATCATTGGAGTGCACCTTGACACCTGGCATGGTACCCTGACCTTCTACAAGAATCGGCACTGCATTGGTAAATGTTTCCCAATAATTATAGCAGGACCTGTGTGAAAACAGCTTTTATGCTCATTTTCATTCTATCATCTCTTCTGCTACAGCAGGTGTTGCTGCCACAAGGCTCCGACACAATAAGTTCTACCCGATGGTGTGTTCCACAGCAGCTAAGAGCAGTATGAAGGTGATCCGTGCCTGCCACACACCCACCACCCTGCAGTACCTTTGCTGTGCCCGGCTCCACCAGATGTTGCCCGATTGTCCAGACATACTCAGTGCGCTGGAACTGCCCCCAGGTCTGCGCACGCTCCTCCACGTACAACTGGGCTGGGTCTTCACTCTTAGTAGCAGCCCTGAGGCCTCGGAACAGCTCAGGGACTTGCCTGAGGAATTCCATGATGAGACGAGCCTGCCTTTGAGCCCCAGCCCCATTCCAAGCCCGGTATTTCCCCTGAGTGCCTGCACCTCCCCGAGCCCCTGCACCAGTCCGTTTCCTGAAGCGGTCTCATACCAGTGCCCCTGTCAGACGACACCTCAAACTCAACCCTGCACTTGCCGCTGCCCTCCAACTCCCCCTAGCAGTGACTATGATAGCTGCTGTTCAGAGCCTGAGGATTACCAATGCAAAAGATGCCGCTGGACATGAGGTCAAAACGTACTTCCAGTTGTTTGGCACACAGCTATTCTACCATTGCCATCAATGTCTCCTGACATAGATCATGAAGAAAAGAGTGATCTTGTCGTTAAGCCAATATTTGAGTTGACGCGAGTGAATTGTTGCTTTATAACTAGCAATGTTATACCATTTAAATAACTTTGTCCATGAAAGGGGAAAAGAGGGTGACATTTTAGAGTTGGTCATTCATTCTAATTTTAGCAAATTTCTATCTGGGGATTCTGGGGCTTATAAGAGCCAAATGTACTTCACTGATTGTTACACACACACACTGAACAACTTGCGAATGTTCACACTTGTCGTTCTCAGGGATGGACTCCAGGGGGAGCGGAGTTGCTTTTTTGATACCATGATAATGACTTTTTTTGCACATGTAACCAGCACTTGGCTTGAATGTCAACAGTGGTTGTGTTATTGCTTACGAGATAATTTGCTACTGTTATTTTGTCTTTATACATTTATGCTTTGTTTATGAACTTTCTTACTCAGGCAATTCTATAAAATAAATGGAAAAAGAAAAAATTGTGTGCAGCTCATTTTAATTCATTGATTTGTACACAGTAAAGAAATATGTAGTTTACAGAGGTCACTCAAATAGTACAGCTTGCATTTACACATAATTGATCAGAATACTGTATTAAATCAAAACACATCATATAATTCTTTGATTTACAAAATATATAACCTTAATATAATCTTGTTTTGGATCTGCAGAGGTATAAATATTTTACTGAGGGAGAACATGATATTTAATGCATGTAATTAGCTTGTAAACACCATTTACATATTAGCAGCTATGTGGGGAGAAAGTGCAAATATAAACTAGATCCTCGCTGGTATCCATCCATGTCATTCTCAAGTGGACAAATTAGTCCAGGACCAGCTGGGGGTTCTGAGCTGTGAAGCATCTGTACACTCTGGCTGACACCTCTGGCCCTACTCGTCTGTCTTTACCTTCACTCTTTACTATGAGACTAGCCAGCAGCCCCTTCCTCTCCTCCTCTGACCCCAAGTACTGGTACGCCTAAAAACAGCAACATTTGAATATAAGGCAAAGAAAATGTGCGTATTCATTCTAATGCGATCACACTGAGGTATACTCGGGTTTACCTGCAGCAGCAGCTGAGGAGACGAATAGGCTGCTGTCACAGTGGAGGCCACACCAGGGCTAACTCTGTTCAGCTGCTGGATCTGTTTGCTCCAGACCTGAATCAGTCCCGAGCCGTCCCTCTCTACCCGAACTCCACTGGCCCATGATCCATCCACACAGAAGGGCAGCTCTGTTCGCTCTGTCAGGAGTCTGAAAGGACAATGAATGATATCTTATCAGCAAAAGAGAACATTATATTTGAACTAACAGGCCAATAGGGATTTAGAGTAGATGGCTGAAGAGGCCTTTCATTTTCTGTAAACGTGACATCAGCTCCATCAGGTGCATACTTGTAAGGGCGTTTTGATAAGGCCTTGGTGACGGCACACACATGGTTAGTGACGTCCTGCCAGCCTTCCAGGAAGACCACTGAGATATTCTTGCAGAGCTGTAGGTAAACAAGAACCTGGACAGATGCATAGAAAGAAATCTCTCATCTTCTATAGACAGCAAGCATCCTTACACCAAGCGAGAGATTTTTTTACACCTGAAACAAGATTTAAAGTGAACAGACCTCCTCAACGTCCATGCTCCCTATTCCCAGGCCAGATGGTGCACCAAAAGCATCTGTCCTGTTGGTGAGTAAAACAAAAAGACAGGTCAGAGTGTTTAAATGAATGTCACCACATGCCCCACATCCCATCTTTCCAAGAAGTCTTTGCAAGTCTCACAGATACACCGACCTGTAATCTTGCTGAGATTCTGTCACTAAGAGAGTGACCACCTTCTTGGCATCACGGTTGAGATGCTCCAAAAGAGGGCTGAGAAAAGACCCCATCCCTGTTTCTTCCCCTTCACTGTTGAGCATCTGCAGTGGCAAGAGAAGCAGAAGCCATGGAGCATGAGTGCTATTCAAAACATGCAACAATAAGGCCAGATCAATAGAGTCCATTGCAATTGTGACCTGAACAGCTGCTTACTTTCTTCACAGAGATCACCATGTCCAGGAAGTCAGTCTGACCCAGCAACAACACAGTTTCATTCTCCTCCAGCAAGCCCAAGCTACCTCCCTCCTGCTGAAGGAAAACTGTTAAGATCACACTGAAGGAACTGGAAATTAATAAGAATGTCTTAAAATAGAAATGCAGCAAACCAAACAATCCCATTTAATCCAAACGTCTTTTGAGAAAATGATCAGGTGCTCACCTGAGGTACGTCTCTGGTCCATGTGATGCTGTGAGGATGTTGCTGGCTCTCAATGCTGAACCTCCACTCGTAGGCAGCCAGAGTATCCAGAAGGATGTCTGAGCCATCGTGCTGCAGGAGAGCTGGACAAAAACACACTGACTTATAAAATATATGCACCATTTAAGTTGTTGTCAAAGTAACCTGGTGGGATCATGATTTGTAAATGGGGGTAAATTGTCGGAGAAGTTCGGTTGTCTGTTTTTAAATATTGACCTTGTCTCTTTCCAGTCAATGGAGGAGAACTCTGTGTGGATCAATGCAGATGTGGATCTCTGCAGACAGTGAGACTCTACCTGGATCTATGCAGACAGTGAGACTCTACCTGGATCTATGCAGACAGTCAGACTCTTGAGGCAGTTCTCCGGCCTCAGACTCCTCAGGTTCTCCGCAGCCTCCCTCCTCCGCTGCTGCTCCTGCCTCCTCTCCACCTTCTCCTGGGCTCTGGATGCTCTCTGCCTCTCCTTTACCTCCCTCCCCTCCCTGGCTCTCTCTCTGTCCGCCTCCACCTCCTCCCTGCTGCGGCGTTTCCTCGCCGGACCCGGTGCGTCAGAGCCATGATGTGGGAGCGAAGCAGGGGTTCGGTCTGAGCCGCTTCTCGTTGCTGGGGAGGTTTTTCGTTTGAGATATGAGCTCGGATGCTGATCTCTGAGAGGTCGATCTCTGCAGTGAGAGCTGACTGTTGTTGATTGACTGATCTCATCGTGGTTTAACTGTGGCTTTGTCTCGATGTCCGTGTCCTCCTCAGATTCAGATATTTCCCAAGTGTCTGCTCTGCGTGAAACAGACATTTCAAAGCTTTAACACCCGATCAAAGTGTGTTTACGCATGCGAATCCCATTCTTTTAAAGGTGGTGGAACCGCTTGTTTACATCGCCGGTGTGTTCGATGGTGTCCGCCGAGGGACAAAAAAAAACTACAGTCTATGAAAAGCCCATTTTAACCTTTGATACTTTTATAATTCCTCCGCCAAGTTTTGTGCAAATATGTATTTGCTACTTTGTGCGTAATGCTGCTTAGAAACAAACAAACAAATTAAACTTGCAAAGGGAATAAAATAACACAAGTTTTGTCAATAAAGTTTTTTCAAAGCAGGTCTGCCTCTCGCTGTTTGCGCAGATTTGTAGATCATCGTCACGCAGCAGAGTATCATCCATGTGGTTTACAGATCTGTGGTGAGCGGAAGCAGCGGGGGATTGTGGGTAGACAGAGCACAGATCCTCAGCTCATGTAAACAACACTGGACGATGTGATCTGAAACATTATTTGATATCGAACAGTGGATTTCCTCACGATGGCGCAGCCGGCGGAGAGAGGTACGTTTGACTTCTGAGTTATTTTTTACCCTAAATGAGTAATTGAAGTCCCAGACTTGTGCTAAGCTAAGCTAACCCTCCACATTCCTCTCTGAGGAAACAACTGGGTCACTGGGAATGACCAGCTCAGCAGTTTAAGTTTCCCTCTGCTAAGATTTCATGTGACTCGATAGGAAGTTACTTGAACCTTACGCCTCATTTTGTGCAATCCCTCTTTTGTTTTTGCAATTTAACAAACCACAACTCAACACATGAACAACAGACAAGAGTGACAATAACAATATACATAAATAATAATGATAACTGACTTCTCCTCAGTCAAGTCCTTGATAATTTTTTTTGTTGTCAAATGTACAAACAATATGGCTCAAGATCAAAATACTGTATAAGATTAAAGAGCAGATGCAACTGTATGGAGCGAGAAGCAAAAGACAAAACAGACATGGAAGAAAGAAATTAATCATAAATAAACAATACTTAAGTTTAAATTAAAGGGCTAAGGCTTCTTGTCTAAACCATATTATTCTTGTATAGAAATAGTAGAGTCCATTGACATTTTCAGGAGTTAAGGGGCGTTTGTATAATAGAGAAATTCATTATGAAACAAACTAAACCTATGTGTCGCCTTCATGCGCTTGAGTTTGTGAAGGAAACATTTCCCACATCGAGTCCATCGTCCCATAAATAAAGTCATTTTTGGCAGAAGGTTTCAACTTGTAACATTTTGGGAGGAAACATAGAGCTTCAGTAACATGAGATTAGCCAGAAAAACCAGTCATTCCATTCTCTGCTACTCTTTCCAGCCTATTATCGCTTTGTGGTGCTGTTCTTCAACTGTCTGCTGACGTTTGGCTCCTACTTCTGCTTCGACATCCCCAGCGTTCTGCAGGATCAGTTCCAAGGGGTAAAGTAACAGCTTGAAGATACAATGAGTATCCAGTGATTTACTCACATCTACTTATCACAATCATTGTGATTTGTGTTCCTGAATTCCAAACTCTTCCCTCAAGTTGTGGCGAGACAGATGCTAACTTATCATGGCCTTCCTCTTTATTTGACAGAACCTGACATGTCCCAATACGACAGTGATCAATGGGACAGTGGACTGTGTGGTGGGACTGGGGATGAACCCTCAGCAGTACAATCTTCTCTATGCTATCTATGCCTGGACGTATGTACACACAAACATTGAACTGCACATAAACTGATGAATGGCTTATCAGAGAACAGATTCAGTTTGTTTTGCTCTATCAACAGGAATGCAGTAGTGGTAATCCTCGCTGGATTCCTGATTGACAAATTAGGAAACCGCTGTAAGTTAATGTATATCTTATTTGCAAATAAGTGTAAACAAACAAAAGCCCCAAAATCCGATCATGCTGAATTGATTTCTGTGTCCTCCTCTGTGCAGTTGGCGTGTTTGTATTCTCTTTCCTTTGTGTTTTGGGCTCGTCACTGTTTGCCCTGGGTTCCCACTTCAAAGGGACGCCCTATCTGCTGCCGCTCATGCTGACAGGCCGACTGCTGTTTGGATCAGGCAACGGATCTCTGACCAGTATGGCCGCCTCACATCAATCAAACCTCTTTGCAGCGAAACCTCTGAAGAATGTTTGTAACCGCTCTGTCAACCTTTTTCCTTATTGTAGTCGTTCAGAACCGCATCACAGCCTTCTGGTTCAAAGGGAAGGAGCTGGCCTTGGCCTTCGGTCTGACCCTGGCGTTCTCACGCCTGGGCTCAGTCCTGAACTTCTTCCTCACCCAGAGGTTTGAGGAAAAATACGGCATGCAGTGGACCCTCTGGGGTGGTAAGTCAACCTCAAGGTCTAAGGCATGACGTAATAATGATAACATGTCATTAAAGAGTATTTTTTTTCATTTGCCACACGACACCCTTGTTTTCCAGGTGCGCTGTTATGTGTGCTGGGCTTTATATCAGCAGTTGTTGTCAGTACGCTGGACAAGGTTGGAATGAAGCAGCTGGGTCTCGATGGAGCCATTCAAGAGGAGTCTCGCAAAGTGGTATGCACAGTAACTTTTGATAATAACCAATTCCAATGTCATTAAATATAATAAGATAATCCTTTATTAATTCCACAACAGGGAAATTAACAAGAAATGAAAAGCGCACAATTAAAAAAGTTATCTTTAAGTATTATTAAGCATTTGTTATTTTTTATTTAAAACGATTACTGTGTAGTAGGGTGCAGTACATTCTGAAGCTTTTGCACCGACTAAATAATTTGTTTCTCTGTTTGTAGAGAATTCAGGATGTCAGGCTTCTGTCACTAAGATACTGGCTGCTGGTTCTCACCATCATGTTCTTCTACAACGGCATCTTTCCGTTCATTGCAGATGCCAGGTAACACACAACAGCTGAATGTGTGTGTGTACGTGTACACCCCTGCCTCCTCCACAGACTGAATAAATTCCAAGAGTGAACATGTGAAAATCCCCAGGGTATACAACTGAGAGAACTCAGAAGATAAAGCACTCAGTCCTGTGTTTGTTTTCTGTCCAGTAAGTTCATTCAGGATAAGTACGACGGCTACAGTCAGAAGGAGGCGGCCTATATCGCTGGGGCAGTGTACGACAGCTCACTGATCCTCTCAGCCAGCGTCGGCATTCTCATAGTAAGTTTCTAGTTCCAAAGTTGTTCAAGAGTCACATGAATCAGTGTAGAACAAGTAGGTGAGTCGGAGTAACATGACATTCTCGTGTGTGTTCTAGGATTTTGTGGGTCTGCGGGGCATTTTTGCGGTGGCCTGTGCCGTCCTCACACTGCCTGTGTTTGGACTCCTGGCCTTCACCTTCGTGCCTCCCCTGGTCTCCACCATATGGCTGGGAGTCACCTACTCCTTCGCTGCTGTGAGCTTCAATCAGACAGACTCAACATAATATTAATTTTGTCCTCTTTTATTAACAAATAATTAGAGATGTTCTGACACCATTTTACATTTTACATACTAATTCCAATACCTGGACTTTTTGTATCTGCCAATACCGAGTACTGATCCAATTCCAGCGGTCGGTAGATCAGTAGATAGATAGATGTGCGTACTCGACTTTTGAATGCTGGTATTGGAACATCTCTACAAAGAATTTATTTGATATCAATTATGATCCCATGTGTTTCAACAATCAGTCATATTGTATGTAGTATCCAGTTCCTCCACACAAGAATGGGAAATCTGACCTTCTTCTTTCTGTGCTGTATGGCAGGCGAGCATGTGGCCATCCATTCCCCTCGTTGTACCTCAGGCGACCCTGGGAACAGCCATGGGCCTGGCCACCTCCATACAGATGGTCGGGATAGGAGTGTCCAATCTGGTTGTCGGACAGATTTTAGGCTCCAAGTCTAGGTAGGTAACCTTTCAGATTACGATCTCATGGCACTGCACTGGTGCCTCATGGTTTGTTTAATTTATTTACCTGTGCTGCTTTTTGTCAACTTGTTGCTCAGTGAAACGAAGATTCCGTTGTGGCGTTGGCAGAGGATGATGATCTTCATGTTGGCCAACACCATCAGCTGCATCGTCACCTCAGTGCTGCTCAATGTTGTCGACCGCAGACAGGTGAGAGGGATCTGAGCCGTTTGATACGTGCTTTAGTGTGTTGACTCTACCACGGTGCACAGTGTGTTCAGCTGAGGTTTGTTTATTCTTCAGGGCGGGACCCTGAACAAGACGACTAAGAGGTCAGGGCAGGCAGAGAGCCACTCGGACAGAGAGCCGCTCACCCAGGGAGAGGAAGAGCAAAGCGGCGATGAGGATGATGAGGCGCTCAGATCTAATTCAATCAACTCATGAGTACTTCACGTTGACACTAAATACCAAGTTAAAACCTTTTTTACTATATTTTGTACTAGTACCAGTTTTGAGACTGAGGATTCAGTTCATTGTTCACCTCACTGTAAACTGAAAACAGATTTGTTCTGCATACTGTGTGTTTGGGAACAGTTGAGAGAATTAAAGGATGAAAACGAGTCTCTGTCAAACAGTATGTAAACCCAAGAAGTATTTGTATTCTCTTGTAAATATGCAGGATTTTAGTGCTTTAGGTTCTTAACAATGTAATTCTCTCATTTATTTTAGGTAGTGAAGTGGTGCCTTATGATATTTTGCATTTCTTGAAATTAGATATTTTTTGTAATATTCATGGCAACAGGTTTGACTTGGCAGGATTCAGTGTTCGCTCTCAACTCAGAACTTTTCAATAAGCAAACAAAAGACACCACAAACAGATGGAATGGATATAAAGGGATTAACATGTGATCACTGGCATGAATTACAGGATTCCTCAATACTTGATACCTACACACTAAATAAACACTATAAAGACATACTGGAGTGACCATACGGCACATCTTAGGATGTGAGCGTTATCATTTAGCATGCTCAACTGTCGATATGAATATTCCCATCTGCAATTATACGAAACCATATTTGTGTACCTTTCTGATTTATTTGTGTGTTTGCTTTTATTCTCTAAGGGAAATATTCAGACTTCCGTTAACTGTGAAAGCACCAGTTGATCTGCTCATTCATGTTTTGTACAGATGCATCATTTCCTGATGACTCTGGGTAAATAATGTGGCCAAGTGGTGAAATAAAGTCACAAAGAAAATCTAAACTAATCCTCTTTGAAATGTCTTTATTTGATACTGAAACACATTTTAATTTAACTTCTCATCACCTACCTACCAACTGCACTGTGACACCTGACTCCACGGATCTT